TCAACATAAGAAAGATGTGGATGTTTTAGAACAGGTCCAGAGGAGAGCCACTAAGACGACCACAGGGCTGGAGCACCTCTGCTATGAAGACAGGCTGAGGGAGTTGGGGTTGTTCAGCCTGGAGAAGAGAAGGCTCCGCGGAGACCTTTTAGTGGCCTTCCAATACTTAAAGGGGGCTTATATAAAAGAGGGGGAGAGATTCTTTTTAAGGGCAGACAGCGATAGGACAAGGGGGAACGGTTTCAAACTGAAAGAAGGGAAATGCAGATTAGATGTTAGGAAAAAATTCTTTCCTCAGAGGGTGGTGAGGCACTGGAACAGGTTGCCCGGAGAGGTTGTGGATGCCCCGTCCCTGGCAGTGTTCAAGGCAAGGTTGGATGGGGCCCTGAGCAACCTGGTCTAGTGGGTGGCGTCCCTGCCCATGGCAGGGGGGATGGAGTTCGATGATCTTCAGGGTCCCTTCCAGCCCAAGCCATTGTATGATGAGTAAAAGTGGAGGAGGTTTTTGCAGTAGGGGCCTAAAGGCTGATTCTGCTGATAAGTCCTGGTATCATTTGAGCATGGTGGACTTTCTCACTTATTTAAAGGCCTAGGAAATTATAGGAAAGTAATGCTTTCTTAAAGTTGTAAAAAAACAAAAAATATGAAACATAAGTGCAGTCTTAAATTATTGCATTTACAGATATGCACCATTATCTTTATTTTTAGTTAGTGTCTCTGCCCAGAATAAAGAATGAACAATATTAAAAGGCCTCATGAATATGTTGTTTCTCATCATAATTGTGTCTTACTGTCCCCTATTCAAATCCTGATCTGAGTAACTGTTAATTTCCATAAGCACTCTGTGAGTGATCTCCTGTAGTGAGATACTTTGTTTCATACATACATTAAATTTTCACTCTGTTCTGCATACAGAGACTGAAGGATGAGAGTTTTTTTTTAAAAAACAAAACAAAAACAACAATCCCTTCCCCCCCCCCCCCCCCCCCACAACTAGGCACCAACAATTATTTTTATATATCTCAC